TACTTTAAGCCTCAATTTATTTAAAGGGAATTAAGACCTCCTGCAATGTTGCTGTTTTGTGAATCATGAACTGGGAATGTGCAATTATTTAAAAGCTGCTGAATAACCAGAAAGATGAACACACAAAATAAAAACATGCCTCCCACCGCATCAAAACAGGAAACAGCATGGAATCCAAATGTCTTCACTCTGGCCAGAAGACTCCCCGCTGGAGGTGGGGATGACCAGGGAATAAACTGATTTACTCAATTCCCACACCTTGTCTCCTAACTTCCCGATCAAAAAGCATGAATTGAAAACGGGCTTACGGTAAAATACCACATTCCAAAACCATAGTCTCAGACTTAGAAGTTATCTTCCCTAGGGGCGCCTGGGTGGCTCAGTAGGTTAAGTGTCCCAGTTCAGCTCAGGTCATGATCTCACAGTTCGTGGGTTTGAGCCCACGTCGGGCTCTGTGCTGACAGCTTGGAGCCTGAAGCCTGCTCAGCTTGTGTCTCCCTCTCTCTGCCCCTCCTGGCTTGCACTCTGTCTCTCAAAAAACCTATTACATGTTAACATAAATAATTTTCTAAAATTGTTCTCTCCAAAACATTTAGTGAGAACAATCTCACTGTTTTTACATTTTTGCAAATCTCTTTAATTCTGGCTTAATCAAAGACAGCTGGATTCCTCAATCAGCTTCTGCATTCAATCCCTTTGGTAGGCTGTTCTACGGTAGACACACCTATGAAGAAAACCTGGCGTCACCCCACCATACCTGGAGGAGAATATTTTAACAGCCTTTTCAAATAATTGTGGATATTCTTCTTTGATACTACACCAAAACTCCACAAGTGGTAACTTATAAAAAAAAAAAAAAGATTACAATGTGAAAACTGTGAATACAGTGTGAAACCATTATCAATAATCCCTTTATACTCTGCTATATTAAAATCCATTTAGTCTAGGGGTGCCTGGCTGGCTGGGTCTGTGCAGTGTGCAACTCTTGATCTCAGGGTTGTGAGTTCAAGCCCTATGTTGTGTGTAGAGATTACTTAAAAATAAAATCTTAAAAACAAAAATCCATTGGTCTACCCTGCCCTTTGATTGAACTTGCCAGTGTACAATTTTATTACAACAAAATTATGCAGATCTTCCAAATGTTGACACATTATTACACAATCAAAAAACTATCATTAATATCACCACCAATCTAGTTAGAAACATTTTTTTAATTTTTGGGAAACTGTCAAGCTCACAATGACAAAAACAAGCTTTCCAATATTCTAGCTTTTGTCATCAAGTTCAAATTTATCATTTGGCCACCAATGCTGTCAGCTGTTTTCCTTAAAGAGACAGGCTCACTTCATTTTCAAGTAAGTGCCAATACCCATGGTTCATGTTTTTTCAGATAAAAGAAAAGCTGTGTGAGAAAAACACTAGTTCAGCTCAGAAATCAATCATACATGTGCTTTCCTCAAAACAACCATTCAACTTTTTAGTATACAGCTTTACGTGTACTTCCCATGTTATCACGACATATGTAACACATAAACTCCAGTCAAGATTAAAATTAATATGTTTTACTGTTTCATCAAGAAATTTTTTAAATGTGTGTGTGTGATGAAGAAATACAAGCACTAATAGTACAACATGGTGCCTCTCTCTGCCTTGATTTTTCCTAAGGCACGAACACAACTCCCCACTAGGGCTTTTGCACCATCAGTGCAAGTCAACAGAGTAAAAGAGACGTAACATTCTAGCACTATTACTATTACAAAAGTAGTTTAAATTTTACGTATTCCCTAAAAGGATCTCAGAGACACCCCCTCCTCCAGCTCCCACTGTGAGAATCACTGGTACTTACCACCCACCATGTGGTCCCAGTTCTACCTGTTAGAACTCCATGACACTTCTTTTTGACTGCCCCAAATAGTTGGGAGAAAAGCTATGGTCTCCCCCAAATCTTGCTAAATATCTCTTCCAGTAGCTTCAACAAATTCTGTAAATGTGATATGAATAGCATTTACGGACAATGTTAACTCTCCTCAAAATCTTTTTATTCCAAGTGTGATAGCCAGAACTGAGCTCATGCAAATACTGATCTGCTCATCACAAGGCTGGGCAGAAATCAGACTACAGTTTCCAGAAGGGCATTACATTCTATTAATGCAATGGAAGAGCCTTGCCAGGGTACATCTGGAAACATCTAGGGACATTTTCGGTTGTCACTATTGGGGACATGGGGGGTGGGGCTCCTGAAATCTAGCAGGTAGAAGCCAGGGATGCTGTTAAACACCTTACAACACACAAGACAGACCCCTGCAAAGAATTATCTGGCCCTAAATGTCAACAATACCTACCAGAGAGACACTGTACTGACGGATACTAAGACTACCAAAATTTTTGGAAGCTTCGTCACCGTGGCTTTTTTTTTTTTTTTTTTAAGTTTATTTTGAAAGACACAGAGAAAGAGGGCATGTGTGCGCACTCAAGCAGGGGAGAGGCAAAGAAAATCCTAAGCATGCTCCGCACTGTCAGACCAGAGCCCTGACATGAACCGAGAGATCATAACCTGAGCCAAAGTCAGACACAACCTACTGAACAACCCAGGCGCCCCATCACCATGGCTCTTAAACTGGACCAGCCTTTCAAAATTAGACGTGCTATCACATAGGCTTTGTTGACAAAACATGAACACTCTTCACAATGCTTTAGAATGAACTTCAATACTCTTGATTTAACCCATTCTGACAACTCACCTAAGGTCGATACCACACTCCCACCCACCCAAATTTAACAGGACAGGCATCGTGAACCTGCAAGTGGAAATCAAACAAGATCTAGCTTGAAATCGCAATTCGTACCTTCAAAGAAACGAAATGAAAGGCAGTGTGACACCAGAACATGAAAAACAAAGAAAGCCAATCAATGTGGAAAAGGGCCTATTTAACTAAGCACTCTAGTTCTTGTTGTTTACTTAAATGTATAATACATTACGGTTAAAAATGAGAGGGAGCTAATGAAAAACTGGCCATATTGTTAACATTTCAAAAAAAAAACACTGGAAAGCTAATTATCCATGTATGAACCTGTTGTCTTAACGGTCTTCCATTTTATACATTTGAACTTACTTCTAAAAAAATTTATGCTCTTAGGTCTTTAGAGAAAACGTACACCTCCCTTCCTCAAAGAATGCTTGGAAAAAGTCGGTATAAAAGCATTTTTATTTTCTAAAGAGAAAGACACAACTATGTTATTTTTCTCACTAAAACCTTTCAAGGCATACATTTCCTCTCACTGACCAATTTGTAATACTGCCATGATTATCATAAAGTTGCTTTTCAAGCACAGCAATAAAATGTGAGCTAACACAAAGAAGTCACAAGGCATCACTAAAAACATTTAAGTGCTGCTGAACTGGAAAATACCACAAAAATCAGTGCTCCTGGTGCCTCTTTCTACCATTTCATTAAAAGGATGAATGAATCTATTAATTAACAGGGATCTTGTGAATTCTACGATTTTAGCTCTGTGTATTTAGTTAAAACGAACAAATCTCATTACAGACATGTTGCTAGGCCTCTTAAAAATGACAGGAGCGGGTGAGAAGGAGCATGAGATTCTTTTTAAAAATACTATATAAAAAGCAATAAACATCTTAAAGCCTGTGTCAAAGCTAGAGGCTCACCTGTAAAGACATACACACACACACGTACACAGACCTATAAACTTGTAAAACTATACTCAGTGATATTTGCGAAAAATTAATTGTCTTTACTTAAAAAAAATAATAAACCTGCGGTCTGTTATTAGGCGTCTAGAAATCATAAGACCTTTATTTCGCATTTAGGTAAAGCTTCGAGTGTCAATTACATGGTTCGTTTGGGGACTACAAAGAAGGAAAATTCGGTCCCTCGTCTCAAAGGAGCACTCTTACACTTGAATCTTCATAAATGGAAGAAATGCAGTCTCACTCCTGAGGCCTCTACCCTGCTGTGTAGACGCAGGAAAATAAAATAAAATAAAATAAAAAAAAAACCAAAACGAAGGAAAAAAAAACCTGTAAGCTACTTTCGATCCCAACAAAGAGTTCTCAAATTACAGCTCGTTCTATGAACGAGAAAGACAATAAAAACTTTTTTCAAAAACCCTACGAGGGAAGCAAAGCAGGAGACGCAGACCTAGAAGAGATTAGAAGGCGGGGATGGACTAGCTTTAAGCCTACAATGAGAACCACTCAAACTACCACTAGACACGGAGGGAGCCGGGGAGCAGGATGAACCCCACTACCCCAGCAAAACAAAACAGCAAGACCTAACCTAACGCGTCGCGGAGGACACCCTGGCAAGTGCCCCTTGCTGTCGTGGGGGGGGGGCGGGGGGGAAGCTCGGGGAGGGGGGCGAGGGTCCAGAGAACAAGGCTGGACGCTCAAAACTGGGCTTTTAGCTAGCAGTGCGCGTGCCAGCCGGGACGTGGAAGTGGGTTAACTCTGGCGCACGGCCTGGGCATCCTGGAAACGGGAGGCAGACAGGGACGCGGCGGAGGGAGGACCAGGAAGGGAGCATCGGAACGAGCTGGGAGACGCCGAGAGCGAACGTGAACCCCGGGCGCAGGCCCCGCGCCCGGCAGGGCCTGCCTTCCCCGCCGCCGGGCACTGCTTTGTTTTGGTTTTTTTTTTTTTTTTTTTTCCTCTCTGCCTTTCAGTCGGACGCGGCGGAGAGGCCGGAGCAGTGAGGTTCAGGCTACCCGCCCCCCCAGCCTGGCTGTTCCGGAAGGGGAAGGCCCCCGGCCCGACGCCCGCGGAGCCAGGAAGGGGTGGGGGGAAGCGGGAACCGAGCACTAGGGGAAGTGCGGCGGCGAGCGGGTGAGGAAACAGGAAGAGCCCCGTTCCCGCCTGTCTCCCCCCAAACACCCCCCTCCGGGCCGAGGGCCCGGCTCTCGCGCCACCCCCTCCCCCTCCCCCGACGCCCCCAAGGCCCCGCCGGCGTGCTGGGGAAAACAGAATACAAATCACTTACAACGGCATCGTCTCCTGCGCCGGCACCGCCCAGTCACTTCCCCCCCGCAACCGCCGCCGCTGCCGCCCTGGGCATGATCCACTGAGGCGGGAGGGAGGGGGGGGCCTGCCTCAGCCCTGGGTCCAACCCCACTCCCGCACCGCTCCCGCCGCTTTAAGCGCTTCTCCTCCTTCCCCTTCGTCCTAACATGGCGCCCGAGCGCTACCACAGCAACGTTCTAGAACTGCTGACGCCGCCACGCACGCCGTACGCGCGCCTGCGCAGAGGCCGCCCGGCGCCGCGCAGCCTCACGGGAGCTGTAGTTCGCGAGGCGGCCGGCGGTCCCGCAATTTCCGGCCGGGTCCCGTCCTGCTTCCGCCGCGAGAGTCGGGTTTTCGGGTCGGAGTGGTGCGGGAGGCTCCCGGCGGCGGGCAGGTCCTCGAGCGGGGACGCTCCTGTCGCCAAAGGGCACGACGCGGCCCGGACGACGCGAGGAAGCGGCCGCGCGCGAGGCGCCGCTTCCAGCGCATTGTGAGGTGCCGCCGTTCTCGCCGCCCGAGGTCGCGGCGGCCGCGCTTCCCCTCGAACGGCGCCCGCGGCGGGGCTTGGCGGGGACCGAGGCGCCCCGGGAGCCGGCCGAGCGCGTCGGTGCCGTGGGCGGCCGCGGGTTGCTCGGCCGCTCGGTGCTGTGCTGCGGAGTGAGAGTGAGGTCTGCGCGCTAGGCTTGCGGCGACGGCTGCGCGTGTTGGCGCCGGAGGGGTGCTAGCGCCGGCTGGTTGGTGGGGCTCCCCCCCCCCCCCCCCCCCCCCCCCCCAGACTGAGGTCCCCTAGGCGAGCTTTTCGGCTGCTCTGGCCGCCAGAGTGGGTTTACGCGGGCGCTCGAGACGTCTTTGTGGAACGAAGCACTCTGCGAGGCAGGACTGTGACGGCAGCGGGTTCTAGAACACGAGCTCCTCTTGCTAACAAGTGGAGCCCTGGACCCGCCTCGGACAGCTGCACTTGAGCGGGAAGGTCGCTGGCGGTGACCGTTGGGATGTTAGCAAAGACTGTTTTGCAGCCCCGACCTGTCCCTGGGGGTGGGACCTGGGAGTGGACCCCCGCCGCTCCCTCCCGGAGCTACGCCGGGAAGAGGAGCGCCTGAAGCCCATCTGATATCCCTCCTTCCCTCTTCCAAGTTCGATGGAACGCGAGCTAAAGCGTCCCATCGAAGGCTCACGGAGGCGCGGGAAGGAGTCCGATAAATGGGGGAAAGATCAAGTTCTAAATTACTTAAGCAGATTAATCATGAACTCGGTTAACCTCGGGAAGCTTGGCAAAGGACTTCCCTGTTTTCACAGAACAGCTCTCTAGCGGGAAGAGCCATGGAGGACTGAAGGCGAAGTGGGAGAAGCCCAGGACCTAAACCTGCAACGTCCAGCACTGTCGCCTGTTGTCACATGTGACCTTTGAGCACTTGAAATGGTCCGTTTAAGACGTCCTGTAAGTGCAAAATACACACTGATTTCAGAGATCTTAGTAGGAACAAAATAATGAGATATGTGATCCTTAGTTCATTACATACTGAAATCGTACTTTGGATATATAAAAAAAAAAAAAAGCATTAAGATTAATTTCATCTGTTTGTTTTTAAAATATGGCTACCCGAGAATTTTAAATTCTGTATGTGGCTCTCATTTTTTATTTTTATTTTTTTTTACATTTATTTATTTTTGAGAGGCAGACAGAGCATGAGCAGGGGAGGGTCAGAGAGCCAAGGAGACACAGAATCTGAAGCAGGCTCCAAACTCTCAGCTGTTTGTCAGCAGAGAACCTGAAGTGGGGCTCGAACTCTCAAACTGTGAGATCGTGACCTGAGCTGAAGTCGGTCACTCAACCAGCTGAGCCACCCAGGCGCTCCCTCTATTGAACAGTGCTGATTGGGAGACAGACTTGTACTTGATTCTCAATTCTACTCATTCCCTTACCCTCTTGTCATCAGGGTGGTTTTGGTTGGGGGCCCAGGAGCAGACCCGTCCTTTAAAGTTTGAAAATTTGAGATCCAGAGAAATCAATAAAATACATTAAGGCTGTGGTCTTAAACCTTGCTTCTAAAGATAGGCACTAGTAATTTGACAATTGTACATATCTAATGGGACATTGCTGAAGTCACCTTGTGAAGTCTACCTTGATTCCGGCCACAGGTATTCGTTTTAACTGTCATATCTGTCAGATGGTGTCATAAGTAGCGGAACAATTCCTAAACTCGTTCTCATAGGTCCACGGTGCATTCAAGCTGAAGAAATCCACAGAAAGGGAGGGGGGGTGAGGGGGCCCCCCGCAGTGGCTCAGTGGATAAGGCGGCCAGCTCTTGATTTCAGCTCAGATCATGATCTCATGGTTCATGAGTTCGAGCCCTATATCAGACACAGAGCTTGCTTGGGATTCTCTCTCTCCCTCTCTGCCCTTCCTGTATTCATTCTCTCTCTCTCTCTCTCTCTCTCTCTCAAAATAATAAATAAATAAAACTTAAAACAATGGAACTAGTTAGGTTTTTTTTTTCCAGTGTCATTTAGGAGGTGACAATTGGAGATACTATGTTGATATGGAGGGTTTTTTTATCCCAACAATAAACTGCAATGATTCAGGGTGCATATGTTTAAAAAATTTTTAACCGACATTAACCAGACTGATGAGTCACTAAAGTAAAACTGGTACATTACACACTTTTATCTCATGAGTACTGTACGCTTGAGCTGTATTTTCTTTAAATTATTTTCTTTTAAATTTTCTGTAGATGTTTATTAATGAGTTTTTTTAATGTTTGTTTATTTTGAGAGAGAGCGCACACACGCGCACCCTCAAGTGTGAGCAGACGAGGGACAGAGAGAGAGAGAAGGAAACAGAGTCCCAAGCAGGCTCCAGACTGTCAACATAGAACCCGAAATGGGGCTCGAACCCACGAATCGTGAGATCATGGCCTGAGCTGAAATCAAGACTGAGTCACCCAGGTGCCCCTGTTAGTTAATGTTTTAAAGAGTATGTCGTGGGGCACCTGGGTGACTCAATCGGTTAAGCGTCCAACTTTGGCTCCGCGTCGGGCTCTGTGCTGACAGCCAGCTCAGAGCCTGGAGCCTGTTTCAGAATCTGTACCTCCCTCTTTCTCTGACACTCCCCTGTTCATGCTATCTCTCTTTCTCAGAAATAAATAAGACATTAAAAAAATAAAGAGCGTGTAGCCCACCATTTTTGTGAAAGAAAGAACCACAATTGCATGTTGATTAGAACTGGCCCCAAACCTCCTGAAGTCTCTGCCTTTGGTCAAAGCACATTGTCTTCCACACTGAAGCCAGAATAGCCAGCCCATCATCAACTCCTATTGATTGCACCTCCAAAATCCATCAGAAATCTCCGCCTCCTCTGCCCCCACCCTAGTCTCTCTGCTGTCTCCTCTTGCACGTGGTTGTGGTGGCCTGCACGCCCACCCCTCCCCCGCTTCTGCTCATGCTTTCTTCCCCGTCCTTCTCCAGACAGCAGCTGGACTTGGAAAGCCTATCTCAGATTTTATCACACTCCCACATGAAACCCAGCTTAATGGCTTCCCACTGCTCTTAGAATAAACCCAAACCCCACTTACAAAGTCAAGGGGCACCCGGGTGGGTCAGCTGGTTAAGCATCTGACTCTTGATTTCAGATCAAGTCATGATGTCATGGTTCATGGGTATGAGCCCTGCATCGGGCCCCATGCTGATGGTGCGGAGCCTGCTTGGGATTCTCTCTCCTTCACTTTCGGCCTTTCCCCCCTCCCCCCCCCCCACCACTGTCTCAAACTAAATAAAATTAAAAAACAAAACTGTAAAGTCAGGCCAATGGCTTACAAGTCCTTGCGTGATCTGGCTCTTAATTTTTCCCTTTAACCTCATCTCACACTCTGCCCCTTTCCTCACTGTGCTTCAGCCCTCCTGGCTTCTATTCTTTTCCTTAACATGCTCACCTCCTTTCTGCCTCAGAGCCTCCATGCTTGTCCCCCCCTGCACTGCCGCCCGAGCCCTTTCTGTGGCTGTCTTGTTCTCAGCTTGTCAAAGCCCGCTGTCACTGCCTCCTAGATGCCTTCCTGGACCACCTCGTCTAACCGGTTTCCTTGCATTATAATCCTTACCGCATAACCAGCACTTCCTGGTTATATATAAAGATAATTTCTTTATTATTATGTATTCCGTCATCACTAAAATCGAAGCTCCCTGGAGAGAGGAGCCCTGACTGTCTTGTTCAAACTATCCTAAGCCCAAAGCATACAAGAGCGCCCGGTGCATATTGGTGCTTCAGAATCAAGTTGTTTCTGGGGTGCCTGGGTGTCTCAGTCAGTTAAGCGTCTGTCTTCAGCTCAGGTCGTGATCTCACTGTTTGTGAGTTCGGGCTTCGCCTCAGGCTCTCTGCTGTCAGGGTGGAGGGTGGATCCTCTGTCTCCCTCTCTCTGCCTCTCCCCTGCTCTCTCTCTCTCAAAAATAAACAAACATTTAAAAAAAAGAATTATTTCTGATTCTTTAAGAGACAGATTTGCCCAGTATTTCTGTTCAATTATTTTCAATTATGTAATTAATCTAGCTAAAAGAAATAAAAACAGTGGGTAATTATCTTAGCATGAGCTGCCATAACAAAATACCACAGAATTGGTGGCTTACACAATAGAACGTTATTTCTGACAGTTCTGGAGGCCGGGAAGGCCAAGACTAAGGTGCCAGCGTGGCCAGGTTCTGGTGAAGACACTCTTCCAGTCCTGTAGATAGCAGCTTTCTCACTGTGTCCTTACACGGCAGGGAGCAGAGAAGCAGAGAGAGGGGTGGTGTGAGGGAGGGGAAGGAGAGAAGGAGAACACGCTCTCTGGTGTCTTCTATAAAGAGATTAGTCCTACGTAGCCTGGGTGGTTCAGTGAGGTAAGTGCCTGACTGCTGGTTTCAGCTCCGGTCATGATCTCAGTTTTGTGGTTCGAGCCCTACGTCAGGCTCTGTTTTGGCAGCATGGAGCTGGCTTGGGATTCTCTCTCCCCCTCCCTTGCACTGCCCCTCCCCCACGCATGCGGTGTCTGTCTCTCTCAAAATAAATAAACAGAAATAAACTTAAAAAACATGAGACTAGTCTATTGGATCACGGCCCCACCCTTATGGGGTGGTCCCATTTAACCTTAACTACTTACTTAGAGTCCCCATCTCCAAATGCAGTCACATGCACGGGGTTAGTATTTGAACATGTGAAT